TGAGATGACTACATTAAATTGTTTGGTTTTACATTTGATTGTGCTTTATGTATAGACTTCATAATAGGGTTTCAAATACATGAAAGGGAATTTATTCCATAAGCTAGAGTTAGAAATTCATTTTAAATATTTAATGATTTAATTACGTTTTATTAGTGTGATGCTTTTTGCTTTGCCGATGAAAAATTGACAAGGGCCTCATCTGGGTTTCTCCCCCCCCCCCCTTTTTGGGTAGTATCTTGGTTAGATTTGTTTGTTCTGTTCTGTATCTTTATAAACAGTGATAAATACTCATTTCTCAAAATAAACGCTTTTTCTAAACATCTGAAATTGCCAAGAGAAAAATAGTAAACAATTGTGAAGCATTAAAATCAACAGACTTTACTCACTGAATTGCTCTTTGATTCAAAAACTGATTTTTCATACTGTGTCTCTAGAGAAAATTTGGTTTGTTTTCCTCCAGTCTTCTCTCTATCCTGATTGTCTTCACCAGGGTGCAGAAACCGTTTCGTGCCCCAACACTCAGGCCAGGTGCACATGGCACTTGCTGTTGGACTAGACTTTGGGGCACTGGATGGGGAGTGGGGCTTGCGCTGGTCAAGGAAACAGTGAGGGAGAGTGAAAAGTGAGTCACCTGAATTACCCCACTATCAACAATGGGTTCAATGGGTTCACTGTGAGGGGTTTGTAGGGAGTGGACGTTCCCCAGATTTATACCTCAGGAATATATTAGTACTGCAAGTGTATCGGATATGGAAATGCTGTAAAAAGTCGAGGGACACTTTGGCCACGTGCATTTCTATGAACTGTCATACTCCTATTTCACTCATATTAATTGACAAAGTGGGGGGAAAGGAAGAGGGTATAGTTGCAATATTTGTCCAAAGGCAGCAGTTGGCCCAGGGTAGCAAGGAATGTGATTCTCCAGACTTTACTGATAAACCTCATGCCCTTTGCCCGTGTGCTGATCAAGAGTCAACGTTATCTTCAAATGTGCTTCTGGAGGAAAAATAAAATAAGTGTATTATCTCCAGATAATAGATGTAGATAATTGTTAATTATCCTCTTTCTTTTTAGATAAACAAATGTAATTAACCAAAATTCACCTTTACTTTTGTCAAACTTTTCACGATTCGGGAACACAGACTATTAATAGGTAGGAAGGTATGCTGAAAACCATCTTGTCTCCTGTTGAAAGTTTGAATGTTATTGCTAGAGAACTGAGTGTCCCCTTATGGTAGTCATTAGCCACACATGGTTGTTAACATTTCAGTTTAATTAAAATTAAATAACAGTTTTATTTCTTCAATGGCCACAAGAGAGTTGTGGCTGCCATATTGGACAGGGTAGAAATATTTCCATCATTATAGAAGATTTTGCTGTGCTGCCCTGGGTTAGAAAGTATGTGGTTATGGCATCGAAGAAAGTATTTTTATACAGATCCTGTTGACGTAGTAATAAACAAGCGATACCATTTCAGTTATAAAGAATATTCTTTTTGGCTTTTTAAGATTTTATTTGAATTGCAGTTAGTTAACATACAGTGTTATATTAGTTTCAGGTGGACGGTATAATGATCCAACACTTCCATACATCACCTGGTACTCGTGACAACAAGTGCCCTCCTTAATCCCCATCATCTGTGTCACCTATGTCCCCACCCACCTCTGGTAACCACCAATTTGATCGCTATTACTTCGGGTCTGTTTCTTGATTTGTCTCCCTCTCTCTTTTTCCCTTTGCTCATTTGTTTCTTAAACGCCACATGTGAGTAAAATCATGTGGTATTTGTCTGTCTTGGACTGACTTCACTTAGCATAATACTTTCTAACTCCACTTCGTTGCAAACGACAAGACTTCATTCTTTTCTAGGGTTGAATGATATTCTATCACGTATGTATACCATATCTTCCATTCATCCATTCCACATCATTCATTCCATATCTTCCATTCATATTATCCATTCATCAGTTGGCAGACACCTGGGCTGCTTCCATATCTTGGCTCTTGTAAATAACGCGGCTACAAACATAGGGGTGCATCTGTCGCTTTGAGTTAGTGTTTTTGTATCCTTGGGGTAAATACCTACTAGTAGGATTGCTAGATTATAGGGTACTTCTGTTTTTTTCTTTCTGAGGAACTTCCATACTCCTTTCCTACAATGGCTCCACCAGTTTGCATTCCTACCAATGGTGGAATGCACCACATCCTCACATCCTCACATCCTCCACATCCTCCACATCCTCACCAACACCTGTTGCTTCTTGTGTTGTTGATTGTAGCCATTCTGACAAGTATGAGGTGATCTGTTATTGTAGTTTTGATTTGCATTTCCCTGATCATGAGTGATGTTGAGTATCTTTTTGCATGTCTGTTGGCCATCTGTATGTCTTTGGAGAAATGTCTATTCATTTCTTCTGCCCATTTTTAAATTGAATTATTTGGTTTTGAGTGTGAGTTTTATAAGTTCTTTATATATTTTGGATACTAACCCTTTATCAGATATGCTCTTTGGAAATATCTTCTCTCATTCTGTAGGTTGCCTTTCAGTTTTGTTGATTGTTTCCTGCACGGTGCAGAAGCTTTTTATTTTGATGTGGTCCCAATAGTTACCCTTTGCTTTGTTTCCCTTGCTTCAGGGGACCTATCTAGGAAAAAAGTTGTTACAGCCCGTGTCAAAGAGGTTATTGCCTGTGTTCTCTTCTAGGACATTTATGGTTTCAGGCCTCACATTTAGGCCTTTCATCCAATTGTGTATACGGTATATGTATGTGATGAGTATTTCTCGTTCATTTATGTGTTACTGTGGCTGTTCCTAGCTGTCAGGCAGCTTTTCTCTTAGTGATGAAGATCCAGGCTCTTCTTTCTTGGGATTCTGCCATGCTTCAAATCCTTGAAGTGCTGGTCCCAGCTGCTGGAAAGGTTAAGTTGCACTGGCCTCTTCACCACCTTGACCTGCAAGTGATAAAATCGATTTTCCCTCAAAATCCATTGGCGAGAACGAGTCACGTGGCCCACCTATATGCTAGGCTTTCCAACGGCAACTCTGTCTCATGGAAGGAAAAGCCACTGGGAAACCACCACAGTTTCTCAGCAACTGAGAAACTCTGCAAAACAAATATGAATTTTATATGGAAAAGTAAGTAATGGGTAAGGGAATAGTTTTGCTCATTGTTAAACTGATTGCATTCCATCATCTTCGGCAGACATATATTATTGTTTTCTACCCTTTTTCAGGAATTGGCTTTCACATTATGATTTGATTATAATTTCACATTATAGTTTGATAATCTCTGAGAACCAATTAATATCTTTATTTTCATGTTCTTCTACATTTAAAATTTTCTACCTTACAGATTAAGAACAGTCGATAAGACCAACCTCATTTTTACTTAGTTCATATAAAATATTATAGATCCATGGGAAATTTATGTAAAAATGGTTATATATTTTTATGTAGGCTTTTTATTTTATAGGTGAAATAGTGATACTCTGTTCCTAGAAGTTTTCTCTTGTGGGTCTGAGTATGATTTAATTTAGAAGAATAGAATGTACATAAAATTAGGATTATGTGTATCACATGTAGTGAAGTACACCTGGAAAGGAGTCTCCTTGTTATGGACAAAGAGTTACTGGCAGAATTCTCATAGAATTATCTCTTGTAAATCATCTTCCAAGTTAAAAGATAAATCCATACTCAAAATGTGCACTTTTAATTTTTTTAGTTTTTAGTTTTGGGGGCTTTCTTTACATTTTATTTGTAAGTCATCTCCACACCCAACATGGAGCTCAAACTCAAAACCCCGTGATCAAGAGTCACGTGGTCTGAGTGAGCCCACCAAGCGCCACCAAATCTGCATGGTTTTTACATGTTGATACCATTATTGGATATCCAGTGCACATGCAAGCACACTTCTCTTTCTTGACCTTGGCACTTACGAATACCAAAAAAAGATAGTTCAAGGTTACCCTATGCCTAAATTCATTTTGACTGTTTTCTTCTCTTTGGATATCTCCGTCTGTAATCTCTGCTTCTATCTCTAGAGCCATCTAGCTATCTTGTGTGTCTGTCATCTGTTTGTCCTTCCTTCCTGCCTTCCTTCCTATTCCTTCCTTCCTTCCTTCCTTCCTTCCTTCCTTCCTTCCTTCCTTCCTT